CACCACCATCACTATCATCATCACCATCACCGGTACCACCACCATCACCACCAGCATCAACACCACCATCAACAAGATCACCATCATCATCACCATCACCACCATCACCACCATCACCACCACAACCATTACCACCATCACCACCATCACCATCACCACCACAACCACCACCACCATCACCACCACCAGCACCATCACCATGATCACCACCACCATCATCACCACCATCACCACCATCAGCATCATCATCACTATCACCACCATCACTACCATCACCACCACCACCATCACCATCATCACCACCATCACCACCATCATCATCATCATCACCATTACCTCCATCACCACCATAACCACCATCACCACCACCACCATCACCACCACCACCACCATCACCACCATCAACACCATCACTACCATCACCACCACCACCATCACCACCATCACAAGCATCACCATCATCACCACCCATAGCATCACCATCACCACCACCATCACCACCATCACCATCACCAGCACCAGTACCAGCATCACCACCATCACCATCATCACCATCATCATCACCATCACACCATCACCACCATCACCATCAGCACCATCACCAGCACCACCACCATCACCAGCATCACCAAAATCACCATCATCACCATCATCATCACCATCACCACCATCACCACCATCACTACCATCACCACCATCACCACCACCACCACCATCACCACGATCACCAGCATCACAAGCATCAGCATCATCACCATCATCATCACCATGACCATCATCACCACCATCACCACCATCACCATCACCACCACCAACACCATCACCACCATCAGCACCACCATCACCACCACCAGCATCACCACCATCACCATCATCATCACCATCATCACCACCATCACCAGCATCACCACCCTCACCACCACCACCATACCCACCATCACCACCATCACCACCATCACCATCACCACCATTACCATCACCACCACGATCACCAGCATCACCAAAATCACCATCATTACCATCATCATCACCATCACCACCATCACCACCATCACCACCACTATCATCACCACCATCACCACCATCACCATCATCATCACCATCACCATCATCACCACCATCAGCACCATGACATTCACCACCATCCCCACCATCACCATCATCACCATCGCCACCATCAGCATCACCACCACCATCACCACCAACACCATCACCACCACCATCACCAGCATCAATACCATCACCATCATCACCATCATCATCACCATCACCACCATCAACACCATCACCATCACCACCATTAACAACACCACCACCATCACCAGCATCACCAAAATCACCATCATCACCATCATCATCACCATCACCACAATCACCACCATCACCACCACCACCACCACCATCACCACCATCAGCATCATCACCATCATCATCACCATCACCACCATCACCATCACCACCATCACCACCATCACCACCATCACTATCACCACCACCAACACCATTACCACCATCACCACCACCAGCACCACCACAACCAACACCACCATCACCATCACCACTACCACCACCATCACCACTACCACCACCACCCCCATCACCATCAGCATCACCACCACCATCACCACCATCACCACCATCACAGCATCACCACCACCACCATCAGCACCACCATAACCACCACCACCAGCATCACCACCCTCACCACCATCAGAACCATCACCATCATCACACCATCACCACCACCACCACCATCACCACCATCACCACCACCACCACAATCACCGCCACCACCATCACCACCACCATCACCACCACCACCATCACCACCATCACCATCACCACCACCACCACCATCACCACCATCACCACCTTTATCACCATCACCACCATCAGCACCACCACCACCATGACCACCACCACCATCACCATCATCATCACCATCATCAACACCACCACCATCACCACCACCATCACCATCATCACCACGCCCACCATCACCATCACCACCATCACCACCATCTCCACCACCACCACCATCACTACCACTATCACCACCATCACCTCCATCATCACCACCACCACCACCACCACCATCACCACCATCACCATCACCACCACTACCATCATCACCACCACCACCATCATGAACACCATCACTACCATCACCATCATCATCACCATCAGCATCATCAGCACCACCAGTACCACCACCATCACCACTATCACCACCACCATCATCACCACGATCAGAACCATCACCACCATCACCACCATCAACACCATCACACCATCACCATCCTCATCACCATCACCGTCATCACCACCCCCACCATCACCACCATCACCACCATCACCATCACCACCACCATCACCAGCATCACCACCATCACCATCATGACCATCATCAGTACCATCACCACCATGACCATCACCACCATCACCACCACCACCACCATCACCACCACCACCATCAAAACCATCACCACCATCACCACCATCACCACCACCACCACCACCATCACCACCACCACCACCACCATCACCACCACCACCATCACCACCATCACCATCACCACCATCACCACCATCACCACCATCACCACACTCACTACCATTACCACCATCACCACCACCATCACCACCACCACCATCACCTCCACCACCATCACCATCACCACCACCATCTCCCCCATCACCATCACCACCACCACCACCATCACCACAATCACCATCACCACCACCACCATCATCACCACCATCACCACCATCACCACCACCACCATCACCACCACCACCATCATCACCACCATCACCACCACCATCATCACCACCATCACCACCATCACCATCATCCTCACCATCAGCATCATCAGCACCACCAGTACCACCACCATCACCACCACCACCACCATCACCACCATCACCACCCCCACCATCACCATCACCACCATCACCACCCTCACCACCATTACCACCATCATCACCATCATCACCACCATCACCACCATCACTACCATCACCACCACCACCATCACCACCATCAACACCATCACAGCATCACCATCCTCATCACCACCACCACCATCACCACCATCACCATCATCACCACCCCCACCATCACCATCACCACCATCACCACCATCACCACCACCACCACCATCACCACCACCTTCATCACCACCATCACCATCATCACCATCATCAGTACCATCACCACCATCACCATCACCACCATCACCACCACCACCACCATCACCACCACCACCACCACCATCAAAACCATCACCACCATCACCACCATCACCACCACCACCACCATCACCACCACCTTCATCACCACCATCACCATCATCGTCACCATTACCTCCATCACCAAAATCACCACCAACACCACCACCACCATCAAAACCGCCACCACCATCACCACCATCACCACCACCATCATCACCACCATCACCACCATCACCATCATCATCACCATCACCACGATCACTACCATCACCACCTCCACCATCACCACCATCACCTCCATCACCATCATCACCACCCCCAGCATCACCATCACCACCACCATCACCACCATCACCATCACGAACACCACCAACACCATCACCACCATCACCTCCACTACCATCACCTTCACCACCACCATCTCCCCCATCACCATCACCACCACCACCACCATCACCACCATCACCATCACCACCACCACCATCATCACCACCATCACCACCATCACCACCACCATCATCACCACCATCAACACCATCACACCATCACCATCCTCATCACCATCACCACCATCACCACCATCACCACCACCACCATCACCACCATCACCATCATCACCACCATCACCACCATCACCATCACCACCATCACCACCATCACAATCACCACCACCATCACCAGCATCACCACCATCACCATCATCACCATCATCAGTACCATCACCACCATCACCATCACCACCATCACCACCACCACCACCATCACCACCACCACCATCAAAACCATCACCACCATCACCACCGTCACCACCAACACCACCACCATCACCACCACCACCATCATCACCATCACCATCACTATCAACACCACCATCACCACCATCACCACCTTCACCACCATCACCACCATTACCACCATCACCACCATCATCACCACCACCACCATCACCACCACCACCATCACCATCACCACTTCCACCACCATCACCACCACCTCCACCATCGCCACCATCACCAGCATCACCACCATCGCCATCATAGTCAGCATCACCACCATCACCACCACCACCATCAGCACCATCACCACCATCACTATCATCACCACCACCCCCATCACCACCACCACCACCATCACCAGCATCACCATCACCACCACCATCTCCAGCATCACCACCATCACCACCATCACCACCATCACCAGCATCACCACCATCACCACCATCACCACCACAACCATCACCACCATCACCACCATCACCATCACCACCACAACCACCACCAGCAGCACCATCACCATGATCACCACCACCATCATCACCACCATCACCACCATCAGCATCATCATCACCATCACCACCATCACTACCATCACCACCACCACCATCACCATCATCACCACCATCACCACCATCACCATCATCATCACCATTACCTCCATCACTACCATCACCACCATCACCACCACCACCATCACCACTACCACCACCATCACCACTACCACCACCATCACCATCACCATCACCACTACCATCACCATCACCATCACCACAACTATCACCACCATCACCACCATCACCATCATCATCACCATCACCACCACCACCACCATCACCACCATCACCACCACCACCATCACCGCCAAAACCATCAGTATCATCATCACCATCACTAGCACCACCATCATCACCACCACCACCATCACCACCATCACCACCACAACCACCATCACCACCATCACCACCAGCATCATCAGAACCATCACCACCATCACCATCACCACCACCACCACCATCACCACCATCACCATCAGCACCACCACCACCATCACCACTATCACCACCATCACCACCATCACCACCACCTCCATCACCACCACCATCATCACCAACACCATCACCACCATCACCACCACCACCATCACCACCACCACCACCATCACCAACATCACTACCCTCACCACCATCTCCACCATCACCACCACCACCACCATCACCACCATCACCACCACCATCACCACCATCACCATCACCACCACCATCACCACCATCACCATCATCATCACCATTACCTCCATCACCACCATCACCACCACCACCACCATCACTACCACTGTCACCACCATTACCACCATCATCATCACCACCACCACCACCACCATCACCACCATCACCATCACCATCACCATCAACACCACCACCACCATCTCCACCATCAGCACCTTCACCTTCATCATCCCCATCACCATCACTACCACCATCACACCATCACCATCCTCATCACCATCACCACCATCACCACCATCACCACCACCACCATCAACACTATCACCATCATCACCACCCCCACCATCACCATCACCACCATCACCACCATCACAATCACCACCACATCACCAGCATCACCACCATCACCATCATCACCATCATCAGTACCATCACCACCATCACCATCAGCACCATCAGCACCACCACCACCACCATCACCACCACCACCATCAAAACCATCACCACCATCACCACCGTCACCACCAACAACACCACCATCACCACCACCTCCATCATCACCATCACCATCACTATCAACACCACCATCACCATCACCACCATCACCACCTTCACCACCATCACCACCATTACCACCATCACCACCATCATCACCACCACCACCATCACCATCATCATCACCATCACCACCTCCACCACCATCACCACCACCTCCACCATCACCACCATCACCACCATCACCACCATCACCACCATCGCCATCATCATCAGCATCACCACCACCACCACCATCACCACCATCACCACCATCACCACCACCACCATCAGCACCATCACCACCATCACTATCATCACCCCCCCCCACCATCACCACCACCACCACCATCAACAGCATCACCATCACCACCACCATCCCCAGCATCACCACCATCACCACCATCACCACCATCACCATCACCACCATCACTATCATCATCACCATCACCGGTACCACCACCATCACCACCAGCATCAACACCACCATCAACAAGATCACCATCATCATCACCATCACCACCATCACCACCATCACCACCACAACCATTACCACCATCACCACCATCACCATCACCACCACAACCACCACCACCATCACCACCACCAGCACCATCACCATGATCACCACCACCATCATCACCACCATCACCACCATCAGCATCATCATCACTATCACCACCATCACTACCATCACCACCACCACCATCACCATCATCACCACCATCACCACCATCATCATCATCATCACCATTACCTCCATCACCACCATAACCACCATCACCACCACCACCATCACCACCACCACCACCATCACCACCATCAACACCATCACTACCATCACCACCACCACCATCACCACCATCACAAGCATCACCATCATCACCACCCATAGCATCACCATCACCACCACCATCACCACCATCACCATCACCAGCACCAGTACCAGCATCACCACCATCACCATCATCACCATCATCATCACCATCACACCATCACCACCATCACCATCAGCACCATCACCAGCACCACCACCATCACCAGCATCACCAAAATCACCATCATCACCATCATCATCACCATCACCACCATCACCACCATCACTACCATCACCACCATCACCACCACCACCACCATCACCACGATCACCAGCATCACAAGCATCAGCATCATCACCATCATCATCACCATGACCATCATCACCACCATCACCACCATCACCATCACCACCACCAACACCATCACCACCATCAGCACCACCATCACCACCACCACCATCACCACCATCACAATCACCCCCACCACCAACATCACCACTACCACCACCACCACCACCACCATCACCATCACCATCACCACAACTATCACCACCATCACCACCATCACCATCATCATCACCATCACCACCACCACCATCACCACCATCACCACCACCACTATCACCGCCAAAACCATCAGTATCATCATCACCATCACTAGCACCACCACCATCACCACCACCACCATCACCACCATCACCACCACCACCGCCATCACCACGATCACCACCATCACCATCACCACCACCACCACCATCACCACCATCACCATCACCACCACCACCACCATCACCACTATCACCACCATCACCACCATCACCACTATCACCACCATCACCACCATCACCACCACCTCCATTACCACCACCATCATCACCAACACCATCACCACCATCACCACCACCACCATCACCACCACCACCACCATCACCAACATCACTATCCTCACCACCATCACCACCATCACCACCACCACCACCATCACCACCATCACCACCACCATCACCACCATCACCATCACCACCACCATCACCACCATCACCATCATCATCACCATTACCTCCATCACCACCATCACCACCACCACCATCACTACCACTATCACCACCATCACCACCATCATCACCACCACCACCACCACCACCATCACCACCATCACTATCACCATCACCATCAACACCACCACCACCATCTCAACCTTCAGCACCTTCACCTTCATCATCACCATCACCATCACTACCACCATCATCACCATCACCCCCACCATCTCCCCCATCACCATCACCACCACCACCACCATCACCACCATCACCATCACCACCACCACCATCATCACCACCATCACTACCACCATCATCACCACCATCACCACCATCACCATTATCATCACCATCAGCACCATCACCACCACAAACCACCACCATCAACACTACCACCACCATCACCACCATCAACACCATCACACCATCACCACCATCACCACCATCACCACCACCATCACCACCACCATCACCACCACCACCATCACCACCATCACCATCATCATCACCATCACCACCAACACCACCAACACCATCACCACCATCACCTCCACCACCATCACAGTCACCACCACCATCTCCCCCATCACCATCATGACCACCACCACCATCATCACCATCACCATCACCACCACCACCATCATCACCTCCATCACCACCATCACCATCACCACCACCACCATCACCATCACCATGACCACCACCATTACCACCATCACCTTCACCACCACCACCATCATCACCACCATCACCACCATCACCACCACCACCATCACCACACCACCATCATCACCACCATCACCACCACCATCATCACCACCATCACCACCATTACCATCATCATCACCATCAGCACTATCAAAACCACCGGTACCACCACCATCACCAGTACCACCACCATCACCATTATCACCACCTCCATCATCACCACCATCACCACCATCACCACCATCACCACCACCACCATCACCACCATCAACACCATCACACCATCACCATCCTCATCACCATTACCACCATCACCACCATCACCACCACCACCGTCACCACCATCACGATCATCACCACCCCCACCATCACCATCACCACCATCACCACCATCACCATCACCACCACTATCACCAGCATCACCACCATCACCATCATCAGCATCATCAGTACCATCACCACCATCACCATCACCACCATCACCACCACCACCACCATCACCACCACCACCATCAAAACCATCACCACCATCACCACCATCACCACCACCACCACCACCATCACCACCACCACCATCACCACCATCACCATCACCATCAACACCACCATCACCATCACCACCATCACCACCTTCACCACCATCACCACCATCACCACCCTCACCATCATTACCACCATCACCACCATCATCACCACCACCACCATCACCACCACCACCATCACCATCATCATCACCATCACCACCTCCACCACCATCACCACCACCTCCACCATCACCACCATCACCACCATCACCACCATCACCACCATCACCATCATCATCACCATCACCACCACCACCATGCCCACCACCACCATCACCATCATCATCACCATCACCACCATCACTACCATCACCATCACCACCATCACCACCATCACCACCATCACCATCACCACCACTGCCACCATCACCACCATCACCAACATCACCACCACCATCACCACCACCATCACCATCACCACCATCACCAACATCACCACCCTCACCACCACCACCATACCCACCATCACCACCATCACCATCACCACCATTACCATCACCACCACGATCACCAGCATCACCAAAATCACCATCATTACCATCATCATCACCATCACCACCATCACCACCATCACCACCGCCATCATCACCACCATCACCACCATCACCATCATCATCACCATCACCATCATCACCACCATCAGCACCACGACCTTCACCACCATCCCCACCATCACCATCATCACCATCGCCACCATCACCATCACCACCACCATCACCACCAACACCATCACCACCACCATCACCAGCATCACTACCATCACCATCATCACCATCATCATCACCATCACCACCATCAACACCATCACCATCACCACCATTAACAACACCACCACCATCACCAGCATCACCAAAATCACCATCATCACCATCATCATCACCATCACCACCATCACCACCATCACCACCATCACCACCACTATCACCACCATCACCACCATCACCACCATCACCACCATCACAGCATCACCACCACGACCATCAGCACCACCATAACCACCACCACCACCATCACCACCCTCACCACCATCAGAACCATCACCATCATCATCACCATCACCACCACCACCACCATCACCACCATCACCACCACCACCACCATCACCGCCACCACCATCACCACCACCATCACCACCACCACCACCATCACCACCATCACCACCTTTACCACCATCACCACCATCAGCACCACCACCACCATGACCACCACCACCATCACCATCATCATCACCATCATCAACACCACCACCATCACCACCACCATCACCATCATCACCACGCCCACCATCACCATCACCACCATCACCACCATCACCACCACCACCACCATCACTACCACTATCACCACCATCACCATCATCACCACCACCACCACAACCACCACCATCACCACCATCACCATCACCATCACCATCAACACTACGACCACCATCACCACCATCAGTAGCTTCACCTTTACCATCAGCTTCACCATCACTACCACCATGATCACCATCACCATCATCATCAACATCTCCACCAACACCACCAACACCATCACCACAATCACCTCCACCACCATCACCATCACCACCACCATCTCCCCCATCACCATCACCACCACCACCACCATCACCACCATCACCATCACCACCACCACCATCATCTCTACCACCACCACCATCACCACCACCACCATCATCACCACCATCACTACCATCACCATCATCATCACCATCAGCATCATCAGCACCACCAGTATCACCACCATCACCACCACCACCACCATCACCACTATCACCACCACCATCATCACCACGATCACCACCATCACCACCATCACCACCATCAACACCATCACACCATCACCATCCTCATCACCATCACCATCATCACCACCCCCACCATCACCATCACCACCATCACCACCATCACCATCACCACCACCATCACCTGCATCACCACCATCACCATCATCACCATCATCAGTACCATCACCACCATGACCATCACCGCCATCACCAACACCACCACCATCACCACCACCACCATCAAAACCATCACCACCATCACCACCATCACCACCACCACCACCACCATCACCACCATCACCATCACCACCATCACCACCTTCACCACCATCACCACCATCA